CTGTAGTCTACACCACCAGCTCCTAGGGGCCAGGGGGTCTTCACACATCCAGTTTCTTGTCCATGGAACATGCTTGATAATGATTGCTTATTTCCCAAGTGATTGATACCTGAACTGGAGCGGCGGCCCAGGCCGCAGTCGGGGAGCGTCACTGAGCCTGGGGCTGGGGAGGGGGTGACTCGGGGCCCCTCCCTTTACCCCATTTAACCGTCTCCCTCCCCCTCAGTCACAGCCCACCTCGGGCAGGAAGGCTTTGACCAAGTGCTTGGGGCTGGGTGGAGATCAGGGAATCTCAGGTTTGCCAGGGACCAGACCTGGAGCTAAATCCCTTGGAATGCAGCCCGGCCCAGCGGGGAGCTGTATTATCTGACTAGGGTTGCTACAAGAGTTTTGGTTGCTTCTCTGTCTCTGTCTCTCTGTGTCTGACTGTCCTCTCCTCTGTTTCCTCTGGGTTTCTCCTCCCTCTGTCCCTCCTTTTCTCTCTCCTCTCCCCTCCCTTTTTCTTCTCTCTCTCTGTCTGTTTCTCTGTCTTTCTCTATGTCTCTCAGCCTCTCTCTCTCTGTCTCTCTCATTTAATGGGGGGGGGGGGTGGGGGGGAGAGGCTGAGCATAGGGAAGCCAAAGCAACAAAGAGAGATCTGTGGAAGGGAGTTCTTGAAAAGAATGGCAGCAAAGCCAGAAGGAGCGAGGGACAGGCCGGCAGCCCTGACAGCTAGACGCTGAATTTATTGTGTACGTAAAAAGAAGGTTCCATGATCCCTAGTCACATAGCATTGCTCACGTGCCTGCGACACTTTAAGTGTCACAAGGTGCTTTCTGCGTGTTTCATTTGATCTTCGCCTCGCGGTGAGGTCGGTGCTAGCTGCCTCTCCATTTTGCAGATGAGGAAACTGAGGCTCTGAGAGGAATGACCCGCCCAAGTTCCCACAGATAGCGTGTGCCTGAGAGGACTTCCTGCCTGGAAGTCTAGATTCCAGCTGTGACGCTGGGGTCCCCGAGCTGTAGCCGGCTGCCTTGAGGACAGGGACGCTTCTCAAGGGGCGCAGGGACCATTGGGCGAATGACTCTTTTAGCCTACCGACACCTTCTCAGAGCAGTCGGGTCAGCGAAAAAAGCATGAACCAGAGAGACAATGACTTCATGCCCCTAAAAACATTAGGTACCAAGTGTTCTTTATGGGAATATTTTTTTCAAGAAAGTGGCCTGTCTGGGGGGCAGCTAGGTGGCACAGCAGATAGAGCACTGGCCCTGGATTCAGGAGGATCTGAGTTCAAATCTGGCCGCAGACACATAATACTTACTAGCTGTGTGACCCTGGGCAAGTCACTTAACCCCATTGCCTAGCCAAGCCAAAAAAAAGAAAGAAAGAAAGAAAGTGGCCTGTCCACTGTAGGTGGGCATTTGCCTCTGTGGTTCAAGCCTTCGGCCTTTTTCAAGTTACTGGACTCTAAGCATTGTGGGAAGGGCTATATACCTCTAGAATAACAACAATAATAATAACAATCATAACACCTTAAGGATTGCAAAGCGCTTTACACATGCCATCTCATCTCATCCTCAAAATGACTCTGGGTGATGGGTGCTACAATTATCCCTACTTTACAGATGAGGACATTGAGGCAGATGAAGCTAAGTAATCTGCCCAGAGTTACCCATGTCTGGGATCTGTGGGACGTGACTGTCTGCTATCTTCTGTCCTCCCCAAATCTTCAGCATGGAGAAGGGAATACCCCAGGGGACTGTGAGTAAGCCGTCTTCAGATATCCAAAGGGGAGTGGGATGGCCCCCAAAGGAGCCAACTAGGACCAGGTCGTAGAAGTGGAAGTTTAGTGGGAGCCTAAGTGGCCGGTCTGTCTTGGGAGGTGGTGAGTGAGCGCCTTGGGGCACCTTGTAGGAGGAGGTGGGGAGGGAGCTGAATGTAAGGGAGGGACTGGAATGGATGCCCTCCAAGGGTCTTCCTGTGGGGCTAACATGATTCCCTTCTCTTTTTAAACATCTGGGTTTTTAAAATAACTTTTTTATTTATATCATCTTCATTCCCAGATATGTCCTCTCACCCTCCACCCACCTCCACCTTTCAGCCCTTGTAACTAAGACAAGCAGAGGGGAAAGTCGTTCAATAAAATGAATCAATCTGTCAGCTGTCCCCTTGCCCCCTCTGCAGCTCACTCCCCTCCCTGGCCTCAGTTTCCTTCTCTGTAGAATGGCCACTAAGGGTCCTTCCCGCTCCAACATTCATTCAATGACTCATTCCTATTCATTTATAAAGCGTACATGGCCCTCTGGGGAGGACAAAATAGCAAATATAGCTTCTTCATCTCCCCCTCCGCCATTTCCCCCCTTTTTCCCCTCTGTTCATCTTTTGACTATCAAGGCTGCTGACGAGCCCAGATTAAGAGTCTAGTGTAGGCTCTGCCGCCCCTCTTGGGGCTCAGTGCCCATTTAAGGGGTGTCTTGAGCTTTCTGGGGCTCAGCTGCTGCCTCTGGAAAATGAGGGGGTTGAATCAGATGATTTCTAAGGGCCCTGCCCACCTGGAAGCCTCGCCTCCCATCCTGCCTCCCAGCTCAGCCAGGCCAGTGACGGCTCTAAGAGCTTAGGGAAACTCAAAGGGCTTCAGTGACCATGCGGACACTCTGACCTCTGAGGCTCCTTCCCTCACTAAATCTAGGACCCTAGAAAGTTGGGATTGTGCACTGAGAACCCAGGCTTGGAGGTCCTGGAATCAGAGAAGGTCGAAGCTTAGATTCTACCTAGACTGACCACCTCCTCTATAGGTGAGGAAACTCCTCAGAGAGGAGAAAGGACTCCCTCCACCCCCAAAACACATAGTAGGACCAGGACTGGAACATTCTCAGGGCCCTCCCAGCACAGTCATTTTCTGTTCTAAGGCTCTCCACTGTTCTGACATTCTCTTTTCTCTGGTCTAAGATCTCTCCCAGCTCCAAATATGTTCTAAGATCCCTCCTAGTCCTGGCATTCTGTGCTCTAAGGACCCTCCCAGTCCCGGCATTCTGTGCTCTAAGATCCTTCCCAGTCCTGGCATTCTGTGTTCTAAGGACCCTCCTAGTCCCAGCATTCTGCGCTCTAAGGACCCTCCCGATCCTGGCAATCTGTGCTCTAAGGACCCTCCCGGTCCTGGCATTCTGTGCTCTAAGATCCCTCCCGGTCCCGGCATTCTGTGCTCTAAGATCCCTCCCGGTCCCGGCATTCTGTGTTCTAAGGACCCTCCCGGTCCTGGAATTCTGTGCTCTAAGGACCCTCCCGATCCTGGCAATCTGTGCTCTAAGGACCCTCCCGGTCCTGGCATTCTGTGCTCTAAGGTTCCTCCTGGTCCTGGCATTCTGTGCTTCAAGGATCTTCTGGCCTCCGGCATTCTGTGGTCAGTCCTCTAACATTCTAGATTTTCCCTGTAACATTCTAATGCTTTAAACCAATGTCAGCCTATCCCAGGCCCCTGAGGTTGCCCACTGAATGACCACTGAGTAAGGATACTCTGAATCGCCTTCAGAGGCCACCAAGAGCTGAAGGTGATTGTGTCCCTGCCTGGAAACGGCTGTGACCTGGAGCTCTGTTGGGTAAATACAGGACTATGTACACGGACAACAGTTCTCTCTCCCTTTGACCTGCAAGTAAGCAGGAAGCCATGGTCCAAACTGGCCAGCTGGGTCCTGGAATTGTCTGCTGGCCCAGCATGGCCTTTGTAGTCATGAAGTTATTTGGGTTGTGTCTGACTTTGTCAGCCCATTTGGGGTTTTCTTGGCAAAGACACTGCAGTGGTTGGCCATTTCTTTCTCAAGTCATTTTACAGATGGGGAAACTGAGGGAAACACAGGGGAGAAGGGGCAGAGACAAGGGGGGAAGGAGGCTGCAAAGGCGGCCCAGTCTCTGCACCTTTTGGCTCCTCTTGGGCTTGGGCTCTGAACAAGATGAGAGCCAGGAAGCCCAAGAACATGGGGCCACTGGTCCCATGCTACCTAGATCTTGTGGCATCGGGCCCCTGCGGCCCCAGCACCGCTCTCTAGTTAGAGGCAGCTTTACCCTGGCCTTCTTGTCTGTGAAACAACAGCAGACGGGTTAGATAATCGCCAAAGTCCCTTCTATGGCCGGGACCTTGCCAGGGGCTCTGGACTGAAGCGCCGTCCTTATAACAGAGAAATCCCTGTGGCCAGAATCGTGGGATCAGATATTTAGATCTGGAAGGGACTTCAAAGGCCGTCCAGTACATTTTAAAGATGAAGAAACGATGGCCCAACGCTGCAGAGCGACCCTGCCTAACTATGCCTTCTTGGGCCTCTTGGCCAGCTCATCCTCCGTATCAAGCTTTCTAATTAGATCTAGATTCAAATACTGGCCCCGTTGTTCACTGACCAAGTGTCCTTTAAAAAAATCACTTCCTAGCCCTATGCCTCAGTTTCCTTCCCTGTAACATGGGGATGATCATACAAAAGCAGGATGGAGCAGAGGACAGAAAGTGTGCCTTTGCAGTAAAGACCTGTCTCATACTCGCTGTGGGACCCTGGGTTAGTCACTTAATCTGCTGGTGCTTCAGATCTTCATTAGAAATGAGCATTTTCACACCTGGAATTCCTTTCACTGATGAAATTGTGGGTCCAAACTAAAACAATGAGGGTCCATGTGTTAAATAATGGATATTTACATAGCACTTCAAAGTTTGCAAAGGGCTTTAGATCCATCATCTCACAACAACTCGAGGAGGTGGGGGCTAGAGGTATGATCACCCCCATTTTACAGACAGCAAAACTGAGGCCCATAGCACTGACAAGGCTTGTCCGGAGTAACATAGTAAGGGAGTGTCAGAAAATGAGAAACCAGGTCTCCCCGATTCCAATCCAGCCCTCTGTCCACCACGCCATCCTGCCGTGCTGAGTGCTTCCCTCCTCGATCCCACTCCTGGCTTCCCCAGAGAAATGTGCTCCCCCCCCCCCGCCCCGCCTGAGCTAGGGTCCAACTAGTCACCAGGCCCACCCCGTGCAACTGACCTGTAGCTCCACTTCTGGACAGGCTCAGCTGTGAAGTAGCTCAGGTCCCTGGGGAGACGGCTGTGGTAGTATCGAGGGGCTGCCCGGACATTGGCCTTGGCTGACCAGAGCAGGCCCCAGAGAAGGAGCATCCCCCCGACGCCGCAGCAGAAGAAGCTGACCGACCTCAGCAGGGCGCTGGGGGGTGCAGTCGTGGGGGCCGCGGTGCCAGCCAGGGGGGCTGCCTTCCCAGGGAGAGAAGCTTTCATCCCGGGGTTCAGAGAGGGCTCCATGTCCCCATCACTCCACCAGGCAAAGCAGAGTGTCCCGGTGACCAGGACCACTGCCCCAGTGATGGTCACTCCGTAACGGAAAGATGAGGCCACCCTTCGGTCACAGGTCTGAACACAGAGAAACAGAGAGAAGACAGGCAATGTGAAGGACAATCTGGAAGGGTGGCGGGGGCCCATGGAACCGGATGAGACCTCAGGGACTATGGAGTCTAACATCCCCATTTTACAGATGAGGAAAACTGAGGTCTGGGGACATGAAGTGATTCACACAAGGTCACACACGTGGAGGCAAGATTACACACTGGCTCCAGGGCCAATAAAAGACATGACTGGACCGCTGGAAATCAATCCCTCATTCACCTCTTTCTATAGGCCATTGGGCAAGACATCCCGCCCTCTCTTTGAGAACGCACACACGAATTGTGAAGACAGAATGCATGAGAAGCCACCCAGAAGAGTATAAAGCGTGACTGTAAACGTGCAGAAAGAAGAGAATAAATCGGAGGGGGAGGGGAGGATAATGGCCTCGCGGCTCCCCAGGGGTGCCCAGGAGGCCCTGAAGGCTTTCTTTAGTGAGGCACCGAGATGGCCCAGGACCTCAGGGCCTCCGCTTCCTGCAGAGAGCCTCATCACCAGCCCTTGAGCTCATCCTGAATTGTCATTCCTATTGGCACCAGCTTCCGTTGGAAGGGAGTGAAGTGGGTGTCCCAGAATCCCTGAGGAGCCTCCTGGCTGCTCTGGACCAGGACGAGATCATCCCCCCCCCATTTTACCAAGGAAGAAACTGATGCTCCAAGAGCAGCAGGATTCAAATCCAGAACCCTCCTGACTCCAAATTTAGTCCTCTTTCCACTTTATCACACTGCCTGTCATGGTAGAGTGGACGCTCCCTGAGGGCAGGGAGTGCTCCGTTTTTGTCTTTGCATCCACAGAGCCTGGCACATAGTAAGTGCTTAATAAATGCTGATTCATTGATGGAAGAGCAGTTGAATCAAGACGAAATATGAGAAAAGCGTAATAGTGTTGTCGAAAATAACTACAGCTGGTGTTGACTGACACAGGTCGCTAGGGGGAGCCATAGTGCACAGAGCGCCAGGCCCGGAGTCAGGGCGACTCATCTTCCAGAGTTCAAATCCAACCTCAGACACTTACTGGCTGAGTGACCCTGAACAAGTCACCTACCCCTGTTTGCCTCCGTTTCCCCATCTGTAAAATGAGCTGGAAAAGGAAATGGCAAACCACTCCCCAAAACCTCCATGAAAAGTTGGACATGACCGAAAAATGACTGAACTGACACATAGTAGATGCTTAATAAATGTTCATCGATCGTAAATCTATGCTATCTCCTTTGATCACCAAGAGAGGTAGCCTTAGTTCAGTGAAAAGAGTCTGGGGACCTGGGTTCTAATCTCAGTCCAAGGTAATGCAGTAGTAGAACAAGCCTCATCCCACCTTGGGACCTCATTTCTTCCATCTGTACAATGGGGTGAGGTGATCTCCAAGGTTGCTTCTACCTCTAAATCCTAACTTTTGTCTGACGACTTTGCTTGGCCCAAGAGGTCCCCCATTCCCGGGACCACCCTCCTTTTCGCCAAGTTTATCTTCAGCATTAGCATCTTCTCCCCTCCCAGCTTCCACAGACCTCATATAGGGGAGCAGCTTATCTAGAGAATAGACATTTAATAAATGTTTGTTCCCATGGCTTCTTAACCTTGCTGGTGTCCCGGGCCCCTGTGACCATAGTCTGAGGAAGCCTAGTGATCCTTGCTTGGAACAGTGGTTTTATGTAATTGAAGGAAATGCTAAATTTCAGTTAGAGTTTAGCAAGAAAAAAAAAAGTGTGCTTTTTTTTTTCCCCAACCAAATTCAAGGACCCAGATTCCCAGGCCTCCCTGACCTCAACAGTATAGACTGTTCGTGTGGCCAGTATCCAGCTGTAGACTTGGATCTCAGGTTAAGAATCCCAATCCCATCCAAACTCCTTCTTTTACAGATGAGAAAAACTGAGGCCCAGAAAGGTTTAGGAACTTGCTTAAGCATGGAAGAAGCAGAACCTCCTGACCCCACACAGGCATCTCTGAAGGCCTGCTTTGCTTGTGACTGGGAGATGCTGCCACTCAGATTTCTCCCAGCTCTGCCTGTCCCTGCGTCCCTCACTGCTTTGGGACTCAGTTTCCCTTACTTGGCCAGGGACTCACCTTCATTCTCTAGCACTGCCCCCCTCCCCAGTAAGTTTTCAAGTCGGGAGAAACCTCCAAGATGTAAGGCACAACAAGAAAGCCCCCTCCTTGCAGGGCCCAAAAGAAGATAAAACAAAATCTAACTTTCTACTTGTAGGCCCTGAGGTTATTGGGGCCTGCCATGGGTGAGGGGATTGGCTCCCGGCTTCTTCCTCAGATTACCCCTTGTTTCTTTGCTTGAGAGAATCTCTCAGCCAAGCTGAGGACAGAAAGCCTCCCTGCCAAGCCCCAAGACCCCAAATGTCCCAGCTTCCAGGCCTGGAATGCAATGAAAATCTGGGGCAGAGGGCAGAGCCCCACCCGATTTGCCCAGACCACACTCCCCACTTCTAAGAGAGCAGGCTGAAAAGCCCAGATCCCAGAATGCTGCCTGGCTGGGCCAGAGTCCCTGGGGGAGACTTTGGGGCTTCAGGAATGCCTTTTAACAAAGTCCAAGAGGGGAAAAGTGATTAAGAGTCAGCTAATGCCCTGGCACGGGTGAGTCACGGGCAGCTCTTTGCCACATCCTTTCCTCAGAATATGGCATTGTCCTGAGAGTGATGGAGAAAGTCCCTCCACAGTCCCGGACCTGAACACAATGTGTGGACGTGCCTGGGGGAGGAAGGGCAACCCAGCCTGGAACACTGGGCATGCTGGGCCTCAGGATAGAGGGCACCTCGTCCCAACCTGGCTTCTTCCAGTACAGGAATCGGGACCTCTCCAAGTCCACCCAGGTAAAGAGCAGACCCGAGATCCAAAGGCCAGCACTGCGATTGCTCCTGACTGCCCTTCCCACTGTCTACACTGCCCCTGGGCTCAGCCAATCAGGAGCTCCCTCAGCACTGGACATAGAACCAGAGCTTGGTGAGAAATATTCTTATTTCCTAGAGATAAGATAGACAAGTGATGAACAGACCAGACTTCTAGGATGCCAGAGCTGGGAGGAATCTTAGAACACAGGCGAGAGCTGGTGAGAACCCTAGACCAAAGAGTGCTAGAGCTGGGAGGAACCTTAGAACACAGAAGGTGAGAGCTGGTGAGAACCCCGGACCAAAGAGTGCTATCAAACCCTGATCCTCTCCTGCTGCCTTTGTACCAAGCCCTTCTGCTACCTGGTGAGAATGGGCTGTCATGGGGGATGGCGAGCTCCTCTCTGGCCAAGTGTGCCAGGAACGTTCTAAGGGCCTCCCATCCTGGGGCAGCAGAAAGGGCAGGCTGGCCTAGGGGATCTCAGCCAGGGCTCCTGCCTGACTTTGAGACCACGATTCCATGACCAGGGCACCACTGACCTTGTTCTAATCCAAAGCCATTACCCTCAGGGAAATTAACTTATTCCCATCCATCACCAAGACTTCATCAGGCACTGGGGAAACAGGTCTGGCCTCGGAACCAGAAGACCTGGTTTCGGTTCTCTGCTCCGTGACCTAGGGAGAGTTGGTACATTCTCTGAGCTAGTTTCCTGCTCTGTAAAATGGGAATAATAGCTTTTTTACCCCTGACCTTCCTGGGTTTTTGTGAGAAGCCTATGGGGCCATATACAATAAGGGGTCTATTAATAGCACAATATAGGTGTGAGCTGTGCTTAGCATCATCATCATCATGCAGAAGAAGGAGAAGATAGGGTTCCTGCCCTTTCAGAGCAACCCCTCTAACTGGGAAGAGGTCTGTTCCACAGGAAACAATCAAAAATGCTGGGACAGGAAGACAGGTCTTCCAGGACATCTGGAGGAGGCCTCAGGACAATCTCATCCAACCTCTTCATTTTACAGAGAAGGAAACTGAAGCCCAGGTGGGTGCCATAACTTCTCCAAGGTCACCAAGGAGGGGTAACCTGGGATGCAAAGCCATGACCTCTGACTCCTGGCCTTTTCAGTGGAGGGCACTGCCTGGGTGGGAGGCCCACACCTCCACCCACTGAGGAAGGGGAGAGAAAGGCAGCTGAACAGATGGGCCTGTCCAGCCATCAGGACAGTGGGGGAGAGAATCTGAGCTTAGAGGGACGTGTTTATGGGACAGCAAGGAGGTCAGTGTGGCTGGGTTGGAAGGCGTGGGGAGGGAGCAAAGCTAGAGAAGATGGGGAAAGTAGGAAGGCCTTACATGCCAACCAGGAGAGGGTTGATGTTTGATCTTGGAAGTGATTAGGGAACACCTGGAGTTTGACTGATTGAGAGGGGGCGGGGAGAGAGCGCGTGTGCTGGGAGTGACAGGAAACACGCCTCACCCCTGCCTTGGGAAGATCACTGTCAGCTGCACGGAGGATGACTGGAGTGAGGAGGGACCTGAGGGAAGGAGGGACCTGAGGGAAGGAGGGAGGGAGGAAGGCACAAAGGCAGTCCAGGTGAGAGGTGATGAGGGCTTGGCCTGGGGTGGTAGCTGGGTCAGTGGGGAGGAGGGGACATGGAGGAGAAGTGTTGCAAAGGTAGCCAAGCCGAAAGAGTCCGGGGGCCACCCACAGTTATAATGCAGCTGTGCCCTTGGTGAAGGTCCAGCCAAGGATATTGAGAAGGAGCGGTCAGGTGGGTAGGAGAAGAACCAAGAGAGAACATGGTGGAGAAGACCTAGAGAGATGAAGAAGGGGGTGATCAACAGCGCCCCAGGCTGCAGAGGTCGGGAAGGGGGGAGCATGAAGAAAAGGCCATTGGATCTGGCAACCAAGAGATCAGGGGTCACTTGGCAGACAGCGATTTGGGGGGAAATGACGAGGTCAGAAACCAGACTTCAAATGAGAGGTGGGAAAGTGGGGGGCCTCTTGACTCCTGGTTTCACAGTCCAACGCTCTCTCCCCTCCCCGACACCTTTTGGTTGAGACTCTCACTCCTATGGCGTTGGCAGCAGGTGAGGCTAGTGAGATCAGAGTGGGCAGCGTACCTAGGGTAAGGTCACCAGGCCTCTGCCCCACCACCTTTCTCCACCGTCATCCTCGTGATTCTCTTTTCTCACCTGCCCCCCTCCCCAGGGTCTTCACACCCTGCCATCTCTCCCCCCCAAGCTTTCACCCCAACTCCAGGTAGGACTCTGGGGCATGGGTTATCTCCACCCCAACCCAATGCCTTCCCCTCCCCACTTAACCCCCCCAAAAAAAACCCCCAGACTCCCCTTTGTCCCAGGTAAGAGGATTCCTAAGGACAGTTCTGCATGGGGATTGGCTGCTCTTCTGGGGATTATAAACAGGCAAATTTTCCCCTCTCTGCCCTTTCCCATCAGCCCCGGGTCCACCAGAAATCCAGCTTGGACTGGAGGAGCTGAGGATGGCTGTGGGGTGGGGGTGGGGGTGGGGGTGGGGAGGACTGTTCTGTTCAGTTGTCACCTTGAGAAGAAAGTAAAGGAAGCTTTGAAGCAGAAACTAGCAAACAGGGAAACTTTGTTACTATCTGATTTAATTACATTCACATTTATATTACCAAAACTATGTAATGGAAGTGCCTGCCTCATATCATAAATAGTCCTTCCTCTGGTCTCCTTTGCATGTTTTGATGTTTGTGGTAAGAGTCGTTAAGATAAGTATACAACATAGAAATCCATTTTTTAAAAAAAGAAATGGAATATGAATCTCTCTCCCCAGCTAGCCCAAATTCCTGGACGGCAGAAAAGAGCCCCAGCTCTGGATTCAGAGGACATGGGTTCTAATTCTACTACTCGGGTAAATCCCTGACTCTCTGGGCTGAAGGGCCTTGGCCAAGTCATTGAATTTCCCTGGACCTCAGCATCCTCCTCTGAAAAGGAGGGGGCTGGACTGAATGGCCTTTTGGCTCTCGAGTGAGCGACCGGTGGTCACACACAGCTTCCTTCTTGGCGATAACTTACCCTTCTTTACTTTGCTGAGGCTGATGAAGTTCTGTCCTCACAATGCCCCTGGGATGCAGGCAAGGTGAGGATCCTTATTGTCATTTGACATATAGAGGAAACTGAGGCCAGTGACTCAGGCACTAACTCTAGTGCTGGAAGAGACCTCAGAGGCCAGCTGCCTCATTTTGCATGCGAAGAAACTGAGGCCCAGAGAAATTCACCAACTTGCCCAGGGTCACACAGTTAGTGTCTGAGGTGGGATTTGAACCCAGGCCTGTGAGCATTCTGCCATGCTGTCCCTCACCTCTGATCTATAGTTCTATAAAACTGTCAGTGTTTCTGGATTCAGAGGGCCACTATTCCCTATAGCAGGCTCCCCGGGATACAATTAATCAAGCCTGAGGACAAATCACCTCCAGAGTCCCAGTTCCAAGCCTTACTGTTATCTCCATCCTTGTCTCTGCCCCCTTACCTAAGCCATGCTGGTTTTAAACCCAAGAGAGATAGGGTTGCAGGAAGGATTCAAGAGCATAGGGGAATTTATACTTATCAAGGGACCAACCATGGCTAGTCCAGGAAGGCTGTGCTGGGGCAGGAGTTCAAAGAAGCCTTCTTCCTGGGCTGGGAGCAGGACCACAATCACGTCTCCATCAGAGGCACCTGAAGAGGAGAAAGAAGTTCAGGATGGACCAGATGCCTGTAACAGGAACCAAGTGTTTGGGGGCTGTCTGTATTCCAGGACTGCCTGGTTCCCACCGTTCATCATCCATCCCATCTACCCCCAGAGGAGAAGCCAGGTCCCCGGGAGTCCTCCACCCTAGCTCTAAAGCGGGCTTTTGGATGGCGTGTGGCCCATGACAGCCTCCACTTTCTCCCAGCTTCCCTTCTCCAGCTCACACACTCAAATGGTCATGGTTGGGACACAACAGGTCAACACTGAGAAGAATATTAGAACAGAGGGTGAAAGCTGGAAGCTACAATAGAATCCAGAACTCCAGAGTTGGGAAATACTTTAGAATACAGAGCATCACAGCTGGGAGGAAATTTTGAACATGAAGGTTACAAAGCAGGTCACAGATTACCGAAGTTGATCACAGAATGTCAGAACTGAGGGAGATGCTAGTCACAGGGACACAGATTTAGGTCTGGAAGAACCCTCAGACTTGGAATTTGAACCCAGGACTTCTGACTCGGGAGCCAGTACGCTTCCCATTGTAAGAGCCATTGAGGGGAGAGGAAGGAAGGAGTCTTAGAATGCAGAGGGAAGAGGGGCTTGGGATATAGAGAGTCAGGGAGGTGTCTTAGAACCTGGAGAGTCAGCTGTGGGAAGGAAGGAGCTTTTGGAACCTAGAGAGTCAGAGCTGGGGGTGGGGAGAGAATAGAGGGGAAGGAGAGTCACAGAACCGAGGGTCCAAGGGGGCGGTGTATTAGAACACGGATGAGGAGGACCTAAAACTGGGAGGAACCTTAATGACCAGTAGTCCAACCCATCTCTGTGGCGTACATCTCTTCTCTGCCCTACCTTCGCCCCATTTTACAGAAGAGGAAACAGAGGCACGAAGGGGAGGCTGCTGGCCCCTCTCTCCCAGCGGACACAGAACAGAGGGGGAGGCTCGAGAGCGAGCGCGAGATCCTGGGCCAACCAGCCAGAGGCAGGCTCGGCGCCCGGAGTTGAGAGGCGGAGGTGGGGGTCCCCGGGGCGCTGCCCAGCCCAACCCAGGCCCGCTCAAGCTGCAGCTGCTACTGCAGATGACCAAGAACAGCCAGCAGGATTCCTGGCCGAGACGCGCCAGTCCTGTCCAGGGTCTCCAGGGCTCCGCTCGGGCCACCAAGCCGCCACCCTGCTGAGCCTGTGGCCCCCCCCCCACCCCAGCGGACCTACTGACCTCTCGGAGCCTGGATCCAAGTCCGTCTGTCCGTCCAGCCGTCTGTGGGTGGGTGGCTCCCTGAGCCCCCGGGCTCGGAGGCAGTCTGTCCACCCGTCTCTTCCTCCGCCTGAGTGTCCGAGGTCTGCGGGAGCTCCCTGAGGGCGGAGTGGGGCGGGGCAGGGGCCGGGGCCAGGGCCGAACCAGCTTCTTAAAGGAGCAACCAGGGCTGACCCGAGCCCTGAGAGCGGCTGGGGCGGGGCAGGGGCCCAGGGCATGATTCACCGCCCCACCCCTTCTTCCCCCCACGCCCACCCCACGCACGCACACATGCACACACACGCACCCACACACGCACCCCAGCCTGGGGCATGTGCCTAGTGATAGCCCTGAGCCCTCCCCGAAGCTGGTCTGGAGAGCCCAGTCAGCTCATTCGCCTTCGGGCCTGGGGGCGTCCTCCCACTCCCCTCCATCCGCCAAGGCCACCGCGGCCGAAAACTACCTCATGGGCTCCGTGGGATCCAAGAATTCTTTCCACTTTCCTCCATCCCGCCCCAGGTCCCAGAGTCGGGAGGAGCGGACCTCCCGGGAGATCACCCATTTCACCCACCACTGGCCCGGTCCGATCCAAGACAAGCCTTATTTATTAATTCATGTCAGTCGACAAGCACTCAGTGCTAAGTTCTTGTGCTAGGCCCTGGGCATCACAGGTGCTAAAGTGAGGCAAGTGGAGGGAGATGCAGCTCCGGAAGTCCCTTGTCAGGTACTGTGCCTCAGTTTCTTCACCTGTAATATAGGAATCGTGGGGAAGGGACTAAATATCGCGCGCCTCTCACGTGCCGGACACTGTATATTATTTCCTGCAATCCTCACAACACCCTGGCGCGATAGGCACTATTATTAGCTGAGGGGAGCAGAGGTGAAGTGATCTGCCCAGAGTCACCCAGCTGTAGTGTCTGAGGGCGAATTGGGACTCAGGGTTTCCTGACTCCAGGCCTAGTGCTCCATCCCTTGAGTCACCACCTGGCTCTGACTTCGAGCATTGATCGCTCCCATTTCCGTGGCACCTTACCGAGCATTTATCCCCAAGAACCTGCTCCTCTCCACACCTTGGCATTTCCAGCTCCCTTCTGGGCTGGCACCTGACTCCTTCGAGAGGGGGGCTGGCCCTGATCCCTCCGGTGGCTGATGCCCACCTTGCCCTGTCAGATAAGACTCTAAATTTGTTTTGTATTTGTTTCTCTGCATACATAATGACTTCTCCCGATGCCTCCCACCTTCCACCCGGAGAACCTAAGCTCCTTTCCGGCAGGGAGTACTTCCTCTTTTGTCTTCAGATACCCAGTGGCACCTAGGAGGTGCTTAATCGATGCTGTGGGTGGAAGTATTCTCTCCATTTTACAGATGAGGAAATTGAGGATAAGATAAAGTATTTGGTGTTGAGGAAATGGGAGCTGATAGTAATGATCACAGGCTTGGGAGCTCAGAATGTAAACCATCAGATTCCCTGAAGATCATCCAGCCCAACTTTATTTTACAGATGAGGAAACTGAGATCCAGAGAAGGGAAGTAGCTCTACAGGTCACACAGCTCTGCACTTCGGCCCTCTGATTGCTCGCTCACGGTTTGCCCCCTGTACCACACTGCCTGGATGACCTCAGTGACTGGCCTTCAAGTCATAAGCAGGGGAATGTTTGGCTTTTCTTCTGGATTGAGACCCCTGATTCCAGGCATGGGCATCACTGGGGCAAACCTCTCCCCAGCCTTGGTTTTTCCTTCCTTCAAATGGGACTACAAAGGACATTTTAACAGGAGAATTAGCCAGATGGGTTCCTAGTTTTCTAAGAAATGCAGGTGGATGTGGGAAGCAGAGTATTACTAAAGGGTAGGCTTGGGGGGCTCACTTCCTCCAGGATAAGCTCGTGGAGATTGCTTCTGCTGGGATACTCCACACCTCCTCAGCACCCTCAGCAGTCTGGAACATCATGCTGGCTCCCCCACCTCCCCTTGCCCCTGCCCTTCAGTTTTCTTCTGCATAGTGTCTCCCGAGCCTTTAGATTAGAAGCTCCTGGAGGGCAGGGACTGTCTTTTTCTTATTTGTATTCCCAGCAGTGCCTGGCACATACTAGGTGCTTAATAAATGTTTATTGACTATTGTTGGAGAGGGTAGTTCACATGCCTTTGAGCTGCCGGCTGTCCTAGCTCCTTAGACTGCCCAGAGCCCACGGTCACGGAGGCCAGAGGGGCAATTGTCTCTGGGTGCCCCTGCCTTAGGTAAGAGAAATATTTCAGCTTGCTTCTCTACCTTACTCTGTTCTGAGATAAGGAGGAGATACTGACAGGCATCAAAGGGATGGGAATCACACTGGATTGAGAGTGAGTTTGAGGCCCTGGGTTCAAATTTTACCTCTTTTACTTTCTATGTGGGTGACCCTGGGCAAATCACTTAAATTCTCTGCCCTTAAGTTTCCTCTTCTGTAGAAATGAGGGCATGCCTTCCAGCTCTCAATTTATGATCTTAGGTCACGTAACCTCCCTGGGCCTCAGTTTCCCCATCTGTAAAATGAGGGGCCCACGGCTTCTGAGAATCCTTTCAGCTCCAGGTCTGTGATCCTCCCATCACAGGTCTTCATAGGTGTGAGCACAGGGCTCTGGGAGGATGACACAAAGCCTGGGAACAGCAACTTTCTCCAGGCTAACCGTGGACAAGACTCAGTGCTTGGCACTATGCCTGACACACAGTAGGGGTTTAATAAATGCTCGTTGATTTGATTAGCTCATCAGCTTAATGAAGCTTTGAGAGCCCTTCTCCTGGCAGCCCCCTTCTCCTTCAAGGTAGGAAGACTGGGCCTATCTAGGACAAGCCGCCCAGTCTCCTAACCTGCCATAGGACCTAGCAATAGCATCAGTAACTAGCATTTAGACACCGTAACGCCGGAGTAGGTCTGACAGCTAATCCTCATTTTACAGATGAAGAAACTGAGGCTCAGGAGGTTAGATCACTCATCCAGGATCACACCGTGACTAGCTGAGGTGGGATTCCAATGTGGTTTTCCCATGATATCTATAATGACAGCAGCTAGGGGTCACCATAGACAGACCAGGCCAGCCTCAGACACTTCCTAGCGCTGTGACCCTGGGCAAGTCACTTTGCCTTATTTGCCTCAGTTTCCTTATCTGTAAAATGAGCTGGAGAAGGAAATGGAAAACCGCTCCAGTAGCTCTGCCAAGAAAACCCCAAATGGGGTTACAAAGAGTAAAAATGACCAAAAAATGATTGAACATCTATCACAACAAACTGCCTCAGCAAATGTGAGCTCACTTTCCCCCTTCTGTAAAACAAGGGGATTATACTAACTGATCTCCAAGGGATCTTTAGGCGGGAGGCATGCAGAGATCAATAAGAACTTGAAATTGAGCAGGGCAGGTAAGACTAGATACAAAAAAACTTCAGTCTAAGTAGAATGTGATCACGGTCTCTAAGACCAAGAACACAGGCATGTCATAGACTGGTGGTGGTGGTGGCGGGGCACATGGCTGCTCCTAGTTGAAGGCTGAGCAGGGATGCCTTCAGGTACCATGGTGGACCACTGGGCAATACCGCTCTGCCCTCTGGCCCTCTGACTGGTTAATGTCATCTGCCTAGTTGCTGCTCCAAGAAAGGAACCCCAGGTCTTCCTATCTGTCTTTCAGTGAAACCTCTTAGAAGTGAAGGTTCCTTGAATTTTAAGTGTGTACTCCTTGAGAACAGGGACTCTTTTACTTTTTGTATCCCTAGCACTTAGCACAAAACTTTGCACATGGCAAGCTCTTAATAAATGCTTTACCATTCTAATCCACTGGAATGCAAAGGAGAGGGAGGAAATTTGGTTTTGAGGAAGGGATGGAAGGCTTGAGAAGACTTCATGGAGGAGATGACATGGAGTTGGGCCTTGAAAGTTGGTAGGATTTCTTTTTTTTTTAACATTTAAAAAAACTTTAAATAAATTTTATTCAAATAAATAATTTAATTTAAATAATTATTTAATTTAATTAACTTAATTGTAATTTAAACTCCAAATAAAATGAGGAAATTCATATGGGTACCAGAACAGGAAAAAACACATTAAAAAGTACATGAAACCACAAGGTTCTATTATCTAATGCTAGCTTTTCTTTTTTAAGTCTATGATGAATCTAACATGTAACTTTCAAAGCTATCCTGCTTGTGTTTCCTTCTGAAATTTCTTCTGTTCTCTTCTGTGTCGTTTTTTAAAATGCTTCAACAACCATCTTTTCCTTCTTTTATTTTTTTTCTCCTGTTCTGGGGCACCCCTGTCCCTACCACTCCCTTCCATTCTCCCTCTCACTCTTCCCCACTGAAAAAACCCTTACCACAAATATGCAGAGTCAAGCAATACAAATTGGCCTGGTCCAAAGGTGTCCTATTCTGCATCTTGAACCCATCACTTCTGCTTCAGGAAATGTGGGTATTGCCATCATCATCCTGTCGTCACACCATCCTCTGGCTGGTCATTGCACTGATCAGAATTCTTAAGGTTTTCAAAATCATTTATCTCTACAAAGTTATTATTTGTAATTGTTCTCCTGGTTCTTCTCATTTCACTTTGCATCAGTTTATACAGGTCTTCCCAAGTTTCTCTGAAACCATCACCTTTATCATTTCTTACAGAAAAATAATATTCCATCACCTTCATATACTATAATCTGCTTAATTATTCTCTATATGACAGGCACTCCCTTAATTTCTAGCCTTTGCAATGACCACAAAACAAAAACAAAAAACCCTGCTTTAAATATTCTTGTACATATGGGTTCTTTTCGTCTTTCTTTGATCTCTTTGGGGCATAGGTCTAGTAGTGGTTTATCCTTTCAGTATCCAGTTTAGTAACTTTGAAGGCATAGTTCTAAATTGCTTTCCATAATGGTTAAACCAATTCACAGGTCCACTAACGATGTGTCAATGTGCCTAGCCTCCCACATTCCTTCTAGCAATTGTCATTTTCCTCTTTTTTTTTTGGTCAAATTTGCAAGGATAATGAGTGTGAGATGAAACCTCACAGTTGCTTTAATTTGCATTTCTCTTCTTATTAGTGATTTATATGATCTTTTCTTAGGTATGATTTCTTCCTCTCAAAGCTTCCTGTTTATGCACTTTGACCATTTTCCAACTGAAG